TTTGGACTTAATTTAGGACATAATAGTCGCAAAAAATTTCTTTCTTTTTAAATTGTCGATTATCAAATTTACATGCTTATAAGAATCTTGCATGGATAAATAAATTCATTTCTTAATGCCTGAAAAGCGGGCATTAATAAAAAAAAAATGACAATATTGATCGATTTTCTTTGGTTCGGTAATTTGTTATCTTTATTTTAAAGGCTGCTTTTACCCAAATGGTACAACTTTTTCGAGCTAATGTCTCGATGTGACCAATTTTTCATGTTCTTTTTATGTTTCTGTGGCAGGGTCTTTTTCTTTGTAGCCGCTGAATGCACTGCGTTGAATTATGATATGCACGTGCAACCAGTATAGTAAAGTGATTTACCGTGATACATGTTCCAGTGATACTCTTGTTACTGACATTCAGTCCAGTTTGTAGACGGTTGTTGTATAGTTAAGTTATCGAAATATTCTGCAAAGAGGCATTATTCCCTCCCCCAACCCCCTCCCCACAGGAATGGATCTTTAGAATTCTATACAACTATCTTAAATTATTCTCTGGGATATAGCTCACCATAGCGTATTTTCACGTTCCATATTTAATATGGGAACCTGTATTTTCTAATTCAAAATATATACAAAATATTTTTAAAAGATTCAAAATATTATGCATTGTACAAAAAAAATCTTTAAATAGTCAGCACATCCCCAATAATTACTTCACAGCCATATTGTATACACTTTATGGTACGTTGTTTATAAGGGGGGAAGGGTGTTAACTGCACTTCCACCTCAAGGGGAATTTCGAATTGTCTGCCCCATAGCTAATTTTTGATAATTGGATTTAGCCAAAAATCAGCTCTTCCTGAATCAGAACTGTTTGGAGGCTGTGGCAGAGATTGTGCTTATTCATGTCCAGATTATTATGTGAACAGAGGTGAGTTTATTTACTTCTTTCAGTTAACATTTAAACCACGCTTGTGTATACGGTATATTCTATATATGACAGATATATGCACACCTCTCTCCCCTGCCACCCACTATACCTTAGTTTTACTCATTATTGTCGTTCTTGTCTTGTAGTTTTACACTATTTTTCTTAGGATGATATTGCTAAACATGACATAACAAACCCATGAGTAACATATCCATACTGAGACAGCTGATATAACATTTCCTTAATTTCCATTCGCGAGTAGAGTTAGAAAATGGCCGCCAAAAAATATTCAATCAAATCAAAACATGCCAGAAGGCGGGGTTAAAAAGTTTTCCCACAATCCCAGCCAATCAGTAAAGAAAATATCGCACAAAAATTTCATGGGCTTATTTGGACCAATCAGAATCACATAAAGTGATATTGTAACGTTTGGTAATATCAAAATATGAAACTGCACAAACTATAGGAAAACCATATCTACTATGTGACAAATATGTATCTGTGCAGTATGCAGTACGTGCATTTGCAAATGATTGTATAGAATGTTGTTAAATTGTATTAAATTTAATTACATTTATTGTCAGGTTCAACAAAACAACAGAAGTCATAACAAATATTCAGAACTTGTTCAGATATCCAGAACTATGTGAAAGACCATTATCTGAGATTGATGAGCATTTTTTTAGTTCATTCACTATCGTACATGACTTTGAGCTACCTGATCTAAGGATCCAAACCTTTTGACGGATTCGATACTTATATGCAGTCATACATAACGTTTATTTGCACATGAAATATCAAGTAGCAAAGTGAAAGAAAGAGATTTCTCAGCACAGTATATTCAGCTTCTTAAACATAAGAAAATTGTTATTTTAGTTTTTGTTCTTAGCATGAAAACACACGCTATAGTTACAGAAGAGTGTGCACATCTAATAAGAGCACACCTAGTTTTTCCAATCAAGAATTATAAAATCTCTCTCTCTCTCTCTCTCTCTCTCTCTCTCTCTCTCTCTCTCTCTCTCTCTCTCTCTCTCTCTCTCTCTCTCTCTCTCTCTCTCTCTCTCTCAGTGATAGATGGGCCTTACCCTGAAATGTTTAAGTACAACTTTCTAGTCCGCGCTTTAGTTCAGTCCTTGAATGAACCAGCCCTTGTAGATATTATCCACGTGGCTTTGCGTTGTGTTTATCAATGAATTCCGTTATGCTTTATATACACATGGTTTTTGTATCTTTTCATAGTCCGTATATTACATGCCCTAGTGCAGCAGATGATATGCTGATTTTAAGTCCGTCTTGAATAAGTTACTGGCTGAATGTAACGAGCACTCCATAAAACACAGATTTGGATATAATTTCAAGAAAGTTAACATTGTGGTATTCAACGAAAGCTCATCTGATTGCAAAAGAACGATACGCAATGGTTCTTAGAGTCATTTGAAAAAAAAACAGCCGCATTTGGACATTTAGGTGTTGATGTGTCGAATCATAGATGATGAAAATAAAAACAGAAATAGAGAGGCTTAAGATAAACCTGTTAGCTATTCATTTTTTAAAAATTGTTGTTGTTGGGCTTAACGCCATTTTTCAGCACACGATAGGCTATTCATAGCGGCCAGTATTAATGGTGGAGGAAGAAACCGGGAAATCACCGGAAAGAACCACCGACCCACGAGAAGCTACTGGCAAGCTTTCTCACATATCTACATTAGCCGAATCCTAGACTCGAACCTACGCAGACAGAGGTGAGATGGCAGTGATCCGTAACGGACAGCGCTTTAGACCACTTGGCCACTCGGGGCCCCAAAAAGCTTATGAAACTGATCTGATAGAAATGAGTAGTCACTAATTGTTATTGGAGTAAAAAGAATGGATTTAATCTGTTCACAGCGAATGTTTTGTATGAAACTATTGCATTAAATATCCCGAGCGTTGTATGGTTGTGAAACTGTATGTATATATGTATGTATGTATGTATGTATGTATGTATGTATGTATGTATGTATGTATGTATGTATGTATGTATGTATGTATGTATGTATGTATGTATGTATGTATGTATGTATGTATGTATGTATGTATGTATGTATGTATGTATGTATGTTAGAGAGAGAGAGAGAGAGAGAGAGAGAGAGAGAGAGAGAGAGAGAGAGAGAGAGAGAGAGAGAGAGAGAGAGAGAGAGAGAGAGAGAGAGATGCACACGAACCGATGTTGCATTAAACTGGTTCGATATTTCACCACATGGAGCTTACATTAAAATAAATAAGTAACCAATTTTCTTTGAGTAACTATGCAGAATGTCCGCAGTTTATTTAAAAAAAACAAGCATTTTCACTCCAAATTTAATTTTAATCTACCTTACATAATTGCAAGTGAAATACATTAGATTTATTCCAGAAATGTATAAAAGCAACTCGATAAATGGAATCTAATAGACCTTATATAAACATGTATCCTTCAATGTCGATCACACCGATTAACGTCGATAAATACGATTCATTCAGCAAGGGATTTTACAGTTGTTATATTCATGAATGAAGGAAACAAGATAAATGTTAAGCATATGAAACGAACTAATGTTTATCGAAGGCTATGAAATGAAAATTAGCTGAAATCATGTATATTAAATGAGTGAGACTATACAATATTTACTGCACATGCTGAACAAAGAAATAGAAAAAAGCCTGATGAACATGTTTATCAACACCTTACACACAACTGAAAGCATACCATTTAATGGTTTTACAAACCTCAAGTTATAAACACGAGATGAGGCATTGATACATTCCATGAATAAGGTAGGGGAAAATAAAAGGAAAGGTTTATTATGCAATAGTTGTTTCTCTCATAGCATTTTTGAAAATAAAAACAAAACGAATAATAGTAAAACCAAAAGGCATAAAATACAGAGACGGTATGAAACAAATTACGTCTAACAAAAAAGAGAACACTATTAAAAGCACTATTGGACAGTTGAAAAGAAATTGTACAGCTTTACCATTCGATCTTTGTCAGTTCAAATTTTTAAGAAAGTAAAAAAAAAAAACAACAAAAACCCCACGTATTTAGTTAGTAATGCAACCAGTGTGCGTAATATAGACTATTTTTCTGGCACATTGTAGTGCCAGTTTGCAATTTTGCGAAATATTCATTGAAAAGACAGAAGAGTTGCCGACAAAATATCACAGGAATCAGAAGTATCACATTCGGTACTACTTTATCACACATCTTGCCCGAACTCTCATTTTTTCTTCCACTTTTCTCTCTTTCTCTAAATCATACACACCCACACGCACGCGTGCACACACACACACACAGTTTGTACTCTTTCACAAGTCATCATTAATCAACAGTTTAGTACATCATCAAATACACGCGAGAAGTTGCTAAGTTCAAGTCCACTTCTTAGTGCATGAAGTATCTTGTATTTTATTTAGTTAATTTTTTTTGTTCTTCATTCATTTTCATGTAACCCTGCTTGGACTTCCTTTGGATCAGCCACTACATTCTTCTATCTTTAGAATAGTGTCCTACGCAGCCGTGACCCCCTGTAAGGTTAGATCTCTGAGAAGACATTTATGGTCAACCACTGCGAGTTTTACTGCGTCCATATTCTAATATATATTTCAGACGTACCAAAAGAAAACAGGCCAAAGTTGAGTTTTACAGTTTATTATATATATATATATATATATATATATATATATATATATATATATATATATATATATATATATATATATATATATATATATATATATATATATATATATATATATATATATATATATATATATATAAAAGCAAAATATATTCAAACCACATAATGAAGGTCTTGTGACATTAATCTTACCATTTAGGGGTGGAAGCATATTTAATCGTCTTAGGAGTGTGTATATGTGGGGGGCGTGAGGGAACTGGGATTTTCCTTCCAGTTAGTATTATTTTATTAATCTCAAATAAATATTATAGATGTAAATAAGTTTTTGCATTAATTAGATTAAGAGAGTGTTAGAAAGCTACTTGGGGCCGCAAATTTACAACAATTCCTGGCTCCACTCCCTCTTAGAAAAAACAACCGCTCCGGTTGCCTAGTGGTTAGAGCGTCCGCTTTGGATGCGGTTGGCTTGGGTTCAAACCCCGGTCGAGTCATACCATTTACTTAAAAAAATATTCTAAAAGCTGCCTCGCTTGGCGCTCAGTACTAAGAGGTTAGTGTTAGGACTGGTCAGCCTGGTATCAGGATAATGTGACTGGGTGGGACATTATGATATATATATATATATATATATATATATATATATATATATATATATATATATATATATATATATATATATATATATATATATATATATATATATGGGGCATGATGTCCGTTAAGAATCTAAATCACACACACACACACACACACACACACACACACACACACGTAAAATTAGATGGCTGGTTCCTGAAAAACAAAACGAAAAGGATATTAGACAGATTTCATTGTGTTAGTTTGCTTTAAAAATGCATTTCCAGTGTAAATCGTCAAACATATTTACAAATGTCAAATGTTCAGACGATTTCTGAAGCTTCAGGGCTACTTCCGATATAGGTGCCTAGCATACGGTTTATTTTAATCACGTATGTATTAGACGAACGAGAGGAAGGCTAGATCGGTTAAATAAAATCCATCGGCAATAAAATTTTAATAATGAATCTGCTTTGATAAACCTTTAACAATTTTTTAGAATAAAAAAAATTATTGAGTACTACGTGCAAATTTTACTTTTGTTATCTGTCCACGATTTATATAAAGTAAAGTAGTAAGTATACTTTGTGATTTATACACTCAGGGGCCCTGAGTGACCCAGTGGTCTAAAGCGCTGACCGTTACGGATCACTAACCCTAACGCTCACCTCTGCGTGAGTTCGAGTTCAGGCTCGGCTAACGTGGGTAAGTGAGAAAGCCTGACAGTAGCTATCGTAGGTCGGTGGTTCTTCCCAGGGTTTTCCAGAGCTATTCCTCCACCATTAATACTGGCAGCCATGTATATACATTTTTCTTGTGCTGAAAAATGGCGTTAAACCTTATAACAACAATAACAACATTTATACATTAAATACCAACTATTTTACTAATTAGTTTGCCTTTTTTCTTTCTAGAGATTGATTAAACATACATTTAAATGGCGATTACTGAAATTTTGCTTTCGTCATTACAATTTCCAGCAATCTTGTTGATCATGTCCCTTTTAACATTTTTATGTTCACGCCTGTATGAACCGAAAAAGAATATTTTAGCCCCACTCACTGGCACTCCTTTTTCCTACAATCGCATTAAGATTTGATCTTTGTAAAATATTTGCAAGCTAATTATTTGGGCGAGGCTTAATAACACATTTAAGATAATTTTAAATATTTTATCTTTAATAGATGTAAAATTTAACTATAATGATTGACAAGTTTATTTTTTCGAGGATCGTAAGTTTGAGCACAAAAACATAAATGGTCAAGCCTTAATTATTTCACATTTTCCTCGTCTCCTGCACCCATATTCTGTGGAAGAGCATTATTTGCTCGCCCCGACAGTACATACAGCTAAAGCAAAGCTGTGTGACATTTTTTGGACGTTGTCTACGTAAAGGTGTGATCTTGTAGAAACATCAATCATTCTCGTGCTCTGTGATGTCATAATGTGAGATGGACGTGTTTTGAAGAAAACAAAAGAAACAAACTCCAGGTATCCAGCTATTCGTTTTTGAAGAAAACGAAAGAAACAAACTCCAGGTATCCAGCTATTCGTTCTGATAATTTTTTTTTTAAAAAAAATACTTTAAACAGTACATTATCTTCTATAAGATGTGGCATTATCACACGTTGGAGCAACAATTAATATTTAATTTGATCTGAGCCATTTATTGTTGAATGACAACAAAACTACGGCGTTGTTTGATGGACCAGCCGTGACAGTTAATTAAAATTAAGATACAATTTGTAAAGACCGAATCCGGTATGGACCGACTTTATTGTGGGCCAACTCCGGAATGGACCGACCCTTGACAGTCTGATTTCTAACTTAAATTTGTATGGGCTGAACCTGTAATGGACTAACTTTGTGAATGGGCCTACTCTGGAATGGGCTGATTATGTTATGTGCTTAGAATGACGTCAATGGAACGTCACTTCAACCCCATACGCGTCACGACAGGTTAACCTTGGGTCGTAACCAATCTCATTTTCTCCCTTTACTGGTGGATATACTTATTACAACCTGTGTGGTAATTCCTCATAGGTACATGTTTGTGATCTATTGCAAAATATGGGAAAAAAAGTAAAAGAAACATACTGACAATGTTTCGCAAACTAGAAAAGGCTACAAGTCTATTATTAATGCAATGACTTGTTCCACAAGCCTCTCGAAATTCAAAACTGAAAAAGATAAATATTATGTAATATCAGTGAAAATCCCACAGACAGAATACAGAATACATATTTTTTCACAATAAACTTCTCCTCCTAAAAGAAAATAAATTCGTGTCCTTTGATGACTTTATATGTTGAACTGTTCACGTGACAGACCGATTTATTTTAGAAAAAAAGGGTGAGGGTGGGGTGACAGGTAGGGGTAAGATTGTTTTGATTTTTTTTTCCTCAGGCAAATTGCTTGAAAATAATATTATTAATCTGATTTGCAGAAAAAGAAACAATCTTTCCATTATATTAGTTGCCAAAAAATTACTTTGAGGTACAAGAAGAAAATTTTCGCGTATGAAAAACAATTCAAAGCCACCCCGACACGCATACGAGCAAACACACACACACACACACACACACACACACACACACACACACACATACACACACATTAACTGGTCGGTCTCTAGCCCTGTTACCATATAGTACAAAAAATACCATCATGGTTTTTATACAGTTAATTCTTTGAAGCATTTTTCAGCAAATTATTTTTTTGTCTCCAACTTATTGTTTTTTAATTAAATGCAACAGAACGGGGTTTATAATTTAAATCTTAAGAGAAGGTGGGAAGAGTAGATTAGAAAAAATAAATATAGAATATATTTGGCGTGGATCTGAATCTTGGATAAACAGACGCAAGGACAGACGGACAGTGCAGACAGGCAAATAGGAATGTACAATGGGAAAGTAAACAGGGAAACAAGACAAATTGTAACACTCGCGACAAAACGTCTAGTGCGCGTTTATTTTCTTACGGGTGGCTTAACATTTTATTTTTTATCTCAGAATCGGCTCGGTTAAGATAACAACGAATAACATCGAGTAATATCGAATAACATCGAATAATATCTAATAACATCTAATAATATTGAATAACATCCAATAAATCTTTTGGTGGCAATACTTAATCTAATTTCTACACAGATTTTTTTTCTTAAACGGTCTAGACTTTGCTTTTCTAGGATGAAGTTTTTATAAGAATCATTTTTCTTTCTTTTTTTTTTGCTACATGTTACGAAGGTGTAGTTGTATTATGCGTTTGACGCCGTCTTTGGGTCTTTTAAAAAATTATTTCTTGTTTAAACATTTTAGCCGAGCATTTTTTAAAATTCAAACTTCATTTCATACACTTTTAAATCTTACCACAATATTATGCATATTTATTTGCAATACATTGATAACTTTTGGTAATAACCTTAAGCTTTTACGAGGGATGAGAATAACCTTAAGTTTTTGCGAGGGATGAGAAAGCATTATTCTCAGTATCTTATAAACAAAAATTATTTCTTATCCACGGATTTCATCTTTTAGTGATGCGTGCTTAACCGTGACGGGATATGGGCTGGTGTGTGCAGGCAAGGCGAAGGTTGCTATTTCATCGCGATATAGGTTCGTGCCACACCAGCCCATATCCCGTCACGGTCAAGCACGCATCACCAAAAGATATATTTATTTTCATTTTCGCTTATAACAGAGAAAAACCTTTCGGTAAAATTAACAATGCTTTATTTACACAAATAAATTTGCAAAGAAAAAAAGTTACATCCTATAATTAAGAAATGATGATTTATTAATGAATGTTGGAAAATGGATCGGTGAGTGAAAACTTGGGCGGTTTATAAAAAAACAGAGGAACAGGTGTTTATGTAAATGTGAGCAGTTTAGGTTTATTTATGGAGAGAAAAAGCACCGAATGTTCAGATATTTTGTAAAATCATCTATTCATGGCAGGTGTAATGTAACATTGGGTGGGCATGATGATACTCGTAATACGCATAAAGAGCCTAACCCTTAACAAAAAAAAAAAATAACCCCGTATTTCACAGTCAATTAACATGTTTTAAATAACCTCGAGTATACAGTGAGATATCATGTGTGAAACATCTGTCGGGTGTGACAAACTCTTATGACCGTACTATATCATGTAGACCTAGTTCACTATATCTGATTTCTCTTTATCGAGCGTAAACGCCCGTTATATTATAATAAGCCGAGTCTATCAGAGAAGATATTAATCATAAAATGTTAGCAAGTAAGGTGTGATATTACCTGCGATTAATTCACAACAGAGGCAAAATAACTACGAAAACCATGCTAACTGTGTCATGCAATTAATGCAGAGTAAACTACTGAATAATGCATGCAAATACACGCACAAGTATTTATACGTACGCACATATGTACGCACGCATGCTATTCTGTATGTACGTATATGTGCATTTATTTCTTCATAAATTTATATATGTGCCTGTTTACATGCATCTATAATTGTAAAACTATCACAGCATTTATCTACCCACAAAGTTTATATTTTATCTTGGCTCCATTTTATCCATCCATCCATCCATCCAGCCAGCCAGCCATCCATCCAGCCAGCCAGCCAGCTAGATATATTTGTTTCCGTTTAATACATATATGTTACTCGATTAGTAACCGTCTCATAAAGGAGGATAAATTCAATCAAACATACGAATAGTTTTCTAAGTGAAACGCAATATTGTAAATTTGAAAGTAATATATACCATATTTTTATACTGTTCTGATGAATATAAAGTGTCTCAATGCATATATTTTTGTCTTGTACAAAAAACATGCATTTTTATCATTTTGCGCATGTTTTGCTGCACATGACTTGGAGTAAACATAATAAATACATTACATAAAGTAGTAGAGACCTCGAGTTAATTCTA